AGGAGGAGGAAGGGGGAGGGAGGGGGGCGAGCGCGGGCTGTACCTGGGTTGTTATCGCGGGGAGGAGGCTTGGGGAGCCGGCAGCCCTGCCTGCATGAAAACGATGCTGTTTATTATGCGCCCTCCCTCGCCCCGGCCCCCGGCTCCCCCGGGAGACAGAGGGGCCCCGCCGCCCCCCGCGGCCCGGGCAGGGTGAGGCAGGGCAGGGCAGAGCAGGGCGGCCGCCGCCCGCGGCCCCGCGGCCCAGGGACCGGCCGGGACAGCGCTGCGGGCCGGCCCGGGGACCTGCGGGGAAGCGGCACGGCCCGGGGCAGGGACAGTGTGCAGGGGGCGAGGCCCGGGGCCGGGCCGTGCGTGTCCCCAGGGCGGCGGGCTCAGCCCGGCTCGGGGAGGTTGCTGAGGTGAATCGGGTCTGGCTCTGTGGCAGCCCCCAGCCGTGGTGCCGCCCACTGCGCCCAGGCTTTTTGGGTCACCCGCACCTCCTGCCGCACCTTGCCCTTTACTGGGTTGACTTTCTTTCATAGGCCTTTGTCATTTTTTGTTTTACACTGCCGTGATACAACTGAGATGCAAAGGCACCGTGGTCATTTGACGGTCAGATAAGCGCTGATTGTACTTGAACATCCATTTCTGGTGCTGCTACAATAACGCAGGGCAGAGCTTTCCATGGGGGGTCTGGTACTGGCACACTTACATGGCCTGTCCTTTCCCTTCTCTTTGGTCACTGTTGTGTAAACTCACTCAGGAACACGTGTTGTGGGAACTCTTGGCAGGCATCAACCAGTGAGTCTGTATTTACTTGTCTTCCCCGGCCTTGCTGGGATGATTGGGTAGTGCTTCATGCCATCATTTGCTTGTCAAGGAAAGTTGCTGTTCTTTGTAGACTGTAAAGAGCACGAAGATAGTGAAGAGTCGTGTGCAACCTGCAGGGGACCATTGATGAGCAGGGTAGAGATGGACTGGCATTTAGCATTAGCCTTGGCAAGACAGCCCTGGAAAAGGATGGGTGTAAGTGCTGGAAAGGTGTCCTGGGCAGGACTGGGAAGAAGAAGTGTTGTTGAACAGCAGACGCCGTACAAGGAGGGAAGGCAAACACAGCAGGCTTAAGCAAAGGTCGGTGAAAAAAGAATAGCAGTAGGGTTCTAAATATCCAGAAGCCTGGTAATGTGGTGGTGCATGCAATTATTTTGGCAGAGCAGGCTAAAATTAGCATGCAAAAGGCCGAACATAATCAACAACGGGTTGTGGTTTTGTAATTCTATCATTATACAGGTTGGTGGATATACTACCTAAAAAATGGCAATTTATGTCAGCAGAACAGCATGAGCCACTGAAAATTGACTTCTTTCCTACCTCTGTCATGGTTTAATTTACTGTGAAAATTTTAATGTGAACAGTTGAGACCATTACCACGTTGAAGCATGTTAATCCCTTTCCTTTTTGAGCCTTTGTGAAACTCCCATTTGTTTACTCAGAAGCAGAACAGGGCCTTTTGTTTTAATGGCATTTTCTTTCCTTTCAAAAAATCATTATATGCTATGCATCTGGTCATAGCTTTTGACTGGCTTACTAAATAGGCACCTGAATGGCAATAATATCCAACAAAGTACATCTTGACTAGAAAAAAATAGGTGTGCTGTTCACATAACTCACTTCCTTTGTGCAGATTAACAGGATGTAAAGTTCAAGTGAAGACAAAGCAGTCTCTAGTTTTAACATGACTTAGCAAGTAGAGGCAGAAGCTGTAGAAGCCCAGAATCTACCACCAGGTAGGAAGAGAGCTGTCAGGAGAGGGGGCATTAGTGCTGGCTGTTAGCTCAGCAGAGTGTGCCCAGAATGTGCTCCTGTGACTTGTGATGCCCTTACATACAGCTTCATGGTAGATCAGGCTGATGTCTGCCCGAGCCTTGTTAAAATTACAGTTCATGCCATCTTTGCTAGGACTTTTCATTGTCTTGGTTGCCAAGTTTTGCCTGATGCACGCTTTCTTCAATGAAGGCAAAATTAGTGAGAACATTAGTCTTTGCTTCTCAGAAAACATTATGGCATACAAATAACAAGCAAAGAACTATTTGAGTTGAGAATGCAACTCAGATACTTCTGATTAACTGGATGCCTTTTATCCAGGGGATTCACTTGCTTCCAGATCCTTGAGTGGTTGTTAGCTACTTCTCTATTCATTATGCAATTAGTGTGTTTGATCTTTGTATTCTCATAAAAACTTCTATATTTCATGCTAATGTAGTAGCTTTAGTAATGTGAGTAACAATACATTTAAATGGCAGTGTTATTGCCCCTACCAAGTGGTGTTTGGCATCAGTGAGACCTTTGGCACGAATTTCCTGTCTAGGGACAAACTTCTTAAACAGTGTTTAATAAACCTGTGAAGTGTTGGAGCAGGACAGAAGCGATCTGCCTGCCCTTTAATGAAACACAGACATACTGACCTGGCTCGGAATCAGCCGTGCATTTTTGTGCACATGGGTAGTGTTGTGCAGAGGAGGCTCCTCAGATCCCAGAGGCTCCAGCAGCAGAATGCAGACTGCCCCCAGCTCAGTGACTCCTGTCTCTCCCAGGGATGGTGCCTGTGGGCTCAGCCAGCTCCACGTGCCACAGCACTGCAGACAAACCCAGCACAGGCAGCCCTCTCAACTCCTGCCTAAGCTTCCCACCCCTCTCTTTGGAGCTGTGTTGATCCAGTGATCAGTAATAACAAACCTGACAAACCATCCCTATGAGTAAAGAGAGAAAAAGATGCAGAAAGTGGCAAAATAGTGATGAAATGCCAGGGCACCATTGGAAAATTGTGTCTTATAAATGATGGAGTGCTCTAGCAGTCAAACTGCATTTAATGTTTCTTTATGGATTGGACTAGAATTCATTTGAGAAGGACTGGATTTGCCAAAACAATAATGACCAGATACCTGATGACTGAAAAGAGGTCACTTAGGTCTTATTACCTGGAAGGGCTGCTTTGCTTTTTGGTATCACATTTTTTTTCTTGTGCAAAGCCAAAATTTCCTTTAGCTTGACTGAAGGACAACAAATATGTTTAGAATTGTATTGAACTTTAATAATAATGGTAAAGGAAATATAGTTTGGTTTAACATGGTTTTTATCTTTGTCTGTGATGTCTGTTGTCTTCAGATGCTCATCAAAAATGCAGAATAAGTATAAACTGGCCAGGTCACCAATCCAACAAGTAAACAATTGTGTATCCAGAGAGCATGCAAAAATAGAGGGAAGATGCCATTGTGGTTAAAATGTAGAAAATAAGAATTTAATTTTTTGTACATTTGATAAGTGGTGTTTGCCTTTGAAGCACTAAATCCTCCTGTGTCTCATTTCCTTGTTTGTAAAGACAGTTAACAACTCTTGTCCCTTTAAAAAGGTGTTGTGGAGACAAAATCCCTAAGGTTTATGAGTTTCTTTGATGCTGCTGTGATAGGAGCTGTATTAGCACACATGGACAGAAAAATCTCTTCCTTCAGATACCCTAGTTTATCTAGGATAAATGTCCTGGTTTATTGAGAAATTGTCCCTTGAATAGTCACTCAGATGAGATAAAAGGGAAAACTAGTGGTAGATTCAGAAAGATCAATAATGGTGTTTGTTTTATGAGTGACCCTGAAGAAACAATAGGCACTTAGTTGCTGAAATTAGCTACTGATTTAAAAATAGGAAGGAAGCTGTTAATGCAACTGTAGAGAGCAGAGAAAAAGTCTGGAATGACCTCAATAAAATAAGAACATGCCCAGATAAATGGCTGATGCCATTATTGAACAGAAGTCTAGGATTGTGCAGCTGGGAAGACAGGAACTGTATTTGGATAAGCAGCAGGAGTTTGTGTAGGGATGGCAAAGTTTATTTGGGATAATACAAGAGACCCAAGCAGGTAAGACAATGTATTTTAATGTAAAACACATGGATGTTTAAAACTGTTTGGAACATGTGGGAGGAGAACACAGCCTTTAAAGTGTTGGTGTCATTATGAAGGTGCATTTGCCATCTTGTAAGGTGAAGTTCCCATTTGCTGGACTGCTGTTTGTCTTGCCCATTTCCTTTATTTCTACTCTGAATTAACACATACTTTAACTCCAGATTTGCTACTTAGCTAACAATGAATGAATGCCACTCTTATGAATGCCACTGTGAAAAAACATCTGCCAGTAGCAATGGCAGAAGGGGATTTGGGCACTTCAATGTATTAGTTGCAAATGGATGTGAAATGTTCAGTATATTGCTTAGAGTAATACATAGTAAATGCTGTCATTTTAATGGGAACGAGTGTCAGTGGCAGGCTGAGCCACCAGAATGTACTGATTACATGGTAGTTTTCAGCTCAGTATTTTCAGTATTGTTGACTGTGTCCCCTCTCCAACACGGCATGGAAGTAAGGCACCTGAAAGAATGAACTGAAATCATTCAAAGGAAAGGTTTAAAGGTAAGCTTATGCTTAAAGATTGTGTTAGATGACAGCCTAGAAAGGCTCATAACACTGTGGTATCATAATGTAATATAATGTTAGACACTGTTAAAAGAAATGACTACTACAGAGTAACAGAAGACTTTCAGTATCAGCAAAAAAATTTCAAAAATATATTTTGAACACCCCTATATGCAGACATTTTAGTAAATAAGCCTCTGTCATCCAGTTCAGTGAAGGGTGGATGGAGCCAGAGGGTTGATTTTGGTGCAGTTGTAGAAATAGGACCAAGGCTTATATTCTGATATCATTTTATAAAGTACAAGGTACAGAAACAACTTTGGTCTGTTATAATGGCCAGTATGACAGCTTGCAAATATTG